TGCTCGCTGGGAAGAAATTTCGATCGGATGAGGAGGTCATCGCCGAAACTGATGCGTATTTTGAGGGTCAGCCAAAATCGTTCTACAAAACCGGCATCGAACGTTTGGAAAGGCGTTGGACTGATTGTATTGCCTTAAAAGGAAACTATATTGATGAATAAATTCGAATTTTTATGTAACACTTGTGTTTTCTTTGCTAGACCGGGGACTTATTGACCGATGTGTTACGAGTATAAGTTGACATATGTGTTGAACGGGAGATTAATCAATATCCCCATAACACGCTTGATTCCCTAAGAGCAGCTATTGGGTGAATCCATATATTCGTTCGGTTTTTGTTAGTACAAATTTTTTCCGAATACGAGGTCTGGCTATTAAATAATGAGACTGCGCGCGCAGAAGGCGTCCTAGAGGGGTAGGGTGGGAAACGAATGCAGCGTTGGATAGCTGGAAGTGTCTACTATTCCAGTACGAAAACACGTTTTTGTCGCAGTAGTAGTATTTTTTCTATAGAGGTTAGAAACGAACTTGTTTTTTTCTCGTGCCGATAACAATGTGTGACGAAAAACACGAGCAACGGATCAATGTGAAATTTCTCGTTAAATTAAAAAAAACTCCGACTGAGTGCTATAAGTTGTTGAAAGAGGCCTATGGTGAGAATTCTCTATCTCGTGCGCGTGTTTTCGAATGGTATAAACGGTTTTCTGAAGGCCGAGAGAGCACCGAAGATGACCAACGTCCAGGTCGACCTGTCTCTGTTTCAACTCCGCAAACAGTGACCAAAATCAATGAAATTGTGCGCGGAGATCGTCGTATGAGCATTCGGATGATTGCTGAGACTGTAAACGCCGATAAAGAAACTGTCAGAAAAATTTTACATGACGAATTAAACATGAAGAAAGTCTGTGCGAAGTTGGTCCCAAAAAATTTGACCCCTGACCAAAAGCTCGTCCGTCAACAGATCTGCTCAGATTTTCTTGAGAGGTTAGATGAAGAGCCTGAATTGATGGAAAACATCATCACTTGCGATGAAACCTGGATATTCCAATACGATGTTGAAACTAAGCGGCAATCCATGCACCGGAAAACTCCTGCATCGCCAAGAATGAAAAAAGCAAGGATGTCGAAATCAAA